TGGTTTTCTATATTAGCTGGCAATTTATTCACAATTAAATCAATTTCAGTTTCTGGCTCCCAGCTTCGGTGTGGCCCATTCTCAGGCATTGCAGAAGCTATTATGGCTATTTGGAGAGTGACCGGCAAGAGAATACCTGTGTCTTTCTCCTTCCTCCTTCTCTATCTGCCTGTAAAATACACTTTAAACTCATTAACAAATTAGCAAACATTATTTGTATCTATATTAAAATATAATGCAAAAAACTATCAATATTATGAATGACCCCTTATCAACTCAGAAAAGGCAAATCAGAAATACAGAATTATTTTGAGTTATCAAGTTCTATATTTTGCCACAGCTGACACACTTGGTATATAACTTTGGGAAACCACCCATTTAAAAAACAGTCTTGAGATAACCTCCACTGGGACACTTAAGTATATCTGGCGACATGGAACACTTACATGTATCTGGGGTTGGCACCTTGCTTACAGGTTAAGCCTCTACCTGCAAAGCTAGCATCCCATATATGCACAGGTTGGAGTCCCAGAGTTTTGTTAATGGTCTTGGAAAACAACAGAGGTTGGCCCACGTTTTTGCGCTCCTGAACCCATTTGGGAGACCTGGGAATACTCTAGCCATCTCAGCCACTAGGGTAATAAGCCAGTGCATGAAAGATGTCTCCATTTCTGTAACACCACCTTTCAAATAAAAATAATTTTAAACATCTTTTTTTTTTAAATGAATGCCACAACGATTTGGTGCAAAGAGAAGTGAGAATGAGGAAGGATACATTGAAGAGTGGTATCAATATGGAGAGGTTGGCAGCAGCCAGGCCAGGAGTAAAAACCAACGTAGCCCTTCTCCTAGGAGTAACAGAATTCAGAGAAAATGTCATGCAGAAGGGATGGCATGAACCTCTTCCCAATTTGAGGATACACAGTGGATAAATAAAAGATTTTCTGAGGGTCAACAGGATCTGTTTAGTTACCTCGTGTTCCAAAAAGTTCCTGCTTGATTTCTAATTTGTGAATTAAAAAGTCATATAAACTAGGATCATACATCACTGTCATCATAATCATCATCTTGGGGGACTAAGAAAAACCAAGTTTGTACAAGAACATCCCAGTAGTCACACAGCTAGATTCCAACATTCCTGTGGAAATAGTCTAAGGACAAGAGACAAGACAGAGACTACATTCAAAATACAAATTAATACTGGCGAGTATTTGGACTTTCAGAATCCATCTTACAAACAGCATTTTTCAACGGGGTAGTAGTGACGGAAAATGCTAGAAACCGGCAAAACTTTTTGGACCTATCAAAATTAAGGTATGTTGAATAGCACTACCCCTGGAGTTGAGTGTTTTGTGGTTTTCGTTCTGCTATACCTGCAGTGGAACATCTGTGGACATCAGGGAATGTAAAATACAGGTACAAAAGAGAAATGACTAAACGGGATTAAAGAAAATCAGAGTTCAGTGTGGCATCCAATAATGAGCTCAAGGCTTGTAGTTAGGTAACAGCTAAGTTCACAGGAATCAAAACAAAGTATAACGTCAACACTAAAGATCCTTGCACATTTGCCCAGTGTGTGCCTGACGCCTGCATTTCCCCAGGCCTCCGAAGGCACGCGTCCTCAGGAACATCAGGAGGAAGAATGCCTTGAGCAGAGGTGCAGCAATACAAGCCCATTGCAATCCCCGAAATCCTTCAAACTGGATAACATATGAATGTACAACAAAGGCATTTACTAACAAGGGTTATGATGATTTGCATTATTTCCTAGAATTGTAATTTTCCTCTAATTTGCAATTTTTATCCCAAGTCATTTATACAATACAAATTATGTTACCTATAGTAGAGAAAAATTAGATTTTTTTTTAGAAAAACAAAACCATTCTCTCTTCACAGATTACTATATATACCATGATGAATTTAGTCTATGTTTCTGTAATTTTTAGGTGGGTAAGCTTTTCTGTAAATAAAGCCATGGAAGGCTAACAGGAATGATTTGATTATCTGATCTAAGCTGTGTAAGTGAAAGAATGGTCAACATCAAAATGATGAATAAAGAGAAAAATGAAGTAGAAAAATTCAATCAATTTTGGTCATCAGAGTCTGATGATATTTTTCATGATTTCCTTTGAGAAGGTTACTGCACCACTTACTAACCTTGGAAAATAAAGGCCTTCAAAGCTAGTTAATCTAGCAATTTAAAGGAATACTATAACTCATATTTAACGTCATTAGTATGTGACTTGTATAAAACATAAGGCGTGCATTTAAAACATTCTTATGCTTGTTAATGTGGTGACATCAACGTTTTGCGTATTTGTCCTGCACTGGCTATCCCACTCCACAGATCACTTATCTACAAAGCACTATATTTATATACAAGAAAGATACCAAGATAGTTAATAAGTGGCCCTCTTCTGGAAAAGTTTGTAACCCAAGAGCAGAAAAAAGTTACCAAACTATTTGTAAAAATTTTTGAGAAAGAGTCAGACAGCTGTTGTTTGACTTACAGACAGAATTCTCAACTGGCAGGTCATTTCCCTTACGCCTGCAATGGCTGGACTCCATAAACTGAAGGCACAAGTTGGAAACTGAATCCAGTCATCCCATGAACCCTATTCACCTCAGTCGGCATCTACTGCCCTCCAGTATCTGCTCTAAGAGAAAGCTGGGATCAGGAACAATAGCCAGGTCCAAAACCCAAGCACTCCAACGGGAGATGGGGGCATCTTACCTGGTAGGTCAAATACATGCACCAGCAATCAAATTACAATAAACCAAAGAGGACCCCCCAAAAAATGTAGACATGAAGCAGCAGTGGTAGAAGGGGTTACTTGAGTGAAAGGAAGTCCCTGCCTCTGGAAACAACAGGTTTTAGTTCATTGTCAAAGGATCATTTGAACATTGATGGTAAAGAAGGAAGACCAAAACGCAGTGTACTGCAGGAAAAGCAGAGACAATGAATACATGGACACACGGAGTCCCTTGGTTTGTGTGGGATGAGAAGAAACTAGGCTGAAAAAACTGGCCAGCTCTACTCATAGGAGTGCTTTGATTGTCCAGCCAATGGGTCTATAAATAATTCAAAAGGATCTATGAGTCACTGAAGGGGTTGCTGAGAATCAGCTATTCACAGAAGACTGAAGCTGGTCTCCTGCAATGATGGGCATTGTACACTCATCTCCATTCCCCAAAGCACAGTCCTACCACCACAAATACTGTCAACATTATTTTGTATTGAGAGGCCAGATGGAAAATTATATCAAAGCCAATGTCTGTCTCCTTTTAATTCAACTAGTTCAAATCTGCCTATTCTACTGATCAACAAAAAAAATGTTCATTTACTCTGAAGAGTAAACTTCTATTAACACTTCTATTTGTAGACAAGATAACACAGTCTAGGGTGAGAATACCACAAAGAAGCACATCTGTAAGTAACACTAAAGAAAAGTGCATCTGGAGTTGATGCAGCACATACAGAGAGAGAGGAGAAAGCCAGACATTTCCATCTTGTAAATATTACCACTAGATAGACAGCTCACTTTAGGGTCATCTGAGATAGCCCTGTCAGCGTACCTTCTTGAGAAAACAAACTTAGAAAAGCTCAGCAAAATTCCAAGTCTGGCACTTGCCATAAGTGCCCAGCACTTAATGCATGTGAGACAATAGTGAGCTCTTACACGTAGACATCTCATTGATTTCCACTGAGAATCTTTTTCAGAGCCTCATCATAAGAAATCAGTAACTCCTACACTTGAATATCCATTCATTCTCTCCTAACACCTAAATTCATACACATAGTATTATGGAAATGTAACAGCTCATATTAACACATGTATAAGTTTATGGCATCTGAAATAATTCCTTACAAGGTATATTAAACTTAAAATCAAAACTCACAATTCCACTGCTTCTAAATGTTTTATGTAATCACATTAAGAAAAGACAAAGCTCCACCGACAGTCACATTTGAACATGTAATTGACATTTAATTAGAATTGTAGTGTCCCTTTAGCAGGAATATAATGAAAAGATTTTATGTGAAAATGAAGATGTATAAAAGATGAATCAGGAACAAATTAAAATCACAATCATGAATATCAAAATAACATCTTAAGAAAATTCTATAGATCTCTTAATATGTATTACTACAACAAAACATGGATGCCTTTTTTCCTCCTTGCTGCATTTCAACTATTTCTACACAAAAAGCAAAACCAAATTTACTATTCTAGCTCACAGAAGGAAAAATTGTATTAGTGATACCCAACTTTCATTCACATAACATGTGCATCACCATTTAACAATTCAATTTTTCCGAAGAAAATGATACAAAACAACTACTTTTGAAAAATGCCATCAGAATCACCGATATTCTTTTCAAAAGTAGTATCTTCACTGAACAAATTTAGAGATAAATTTACACCACTGAATATCAACACATTTGCAAGTGATCAACCACTGGCTTTTTACTTCAATTTTTATCCTATGTTGAGTTCATTACAATACTATGTAATATCAAGTAGACTTATTTTAGAACTGCAACATAAAATGAGCTTAAGAAATCAAACTCGGGATTGAAGGATCAGATTGCTCTTGGAACATTTCATCTTTCGACTTTCACGTGGAAATTGGCACGATGGAGGACTCGGTTTTTTAGTATGGGTCCACTGAGAAAAGGGGTCATAAGTACATTAAGCAATAAATGGCTAGAGAGAACACAATGTCATTTCTTGTTCCAGGCTATTCTTATTTGGTTCTCTGAACTGCACTATTATATTAAAGAATTTTGAATGGCTGAACATGTGATAAAACTTTACACTTTAATTTAAACACGGATGAAAACTGGCATCTGAGATCTAGAAAAACTTGTTCAGTCTTGCACCCTACACATTGACAGACTGAGAATGAAATCAAGGTAAAACACCTGCACCACGCTGCACTTCACATAATAGGGCTAGAAAGGCAATAAAGAGTCTCAAGAACGCAATGCAGCCTACCTTTTTAAAAACTCCATATACTCGGTATGCTTGATGAGTCCTGTTCTCATCATAATGGTTTGGAAGCATTGTCGATCAATGGCCCACAGTTTCACATTTACAAGAGCTACAAAAAAGGAAGAAAAAAAAAAAGGAAAGTTTAGAGAACCTCTGCTGTGAACAAGATCTTGCATGAGATGTGTTATGCATGAGAAGTTTGGAAATGATTAACCATAATACACATCTAGAGCTGATATCATAACATTGTTCTACATCATTAAAAAGGCTTATGTACCTACAGGCAGAATGTAGTTTGCCATGCTTCCTACTAGTACTACCACACACCAGGAAGGTTCCTGTTGTTCTAGTGCCATGCAGGGAATGAAAATGCTTGAACACATTGAAATGGCATGGAAACACAATCATGCTCACATGAACTAACCATCTGTTAATTACACAGAGTGGTGTTAGTGACTCATAGAACCATTTTGTTCAGTTGTAAAACTACAGGTTAAAATTCAATTTTCAGGCATACAGGTAAATTTTATACAACAGGTAATTATTATACAGTGATGACTACATGAAGCTCATCTTACAGATTGTAACCTGTGTGTCCAGAATTGCAACATGAAAATTCTATTAGAGATATTTTGGTTGAATTGTAATTTCTGTCCTACACATCACTTGTTTTTGACTCTGCATAAAAATTAGTATTGAATTAAAATCTACAGATCTTTGGGCCCGGCGGCGTGGCCTAGCGGCTAGAGTCCTCGCCTTGAATGTGCCAGGATCCCATATAGGCGTTGGTTCTAATCCCGGCGGCCCCGCTTCCCATCCAGCTCCCTGCTTGTGGCCTGGGAAAGCAGTCAAGGACGGCCCAGAGTTTTGGGACCCTGCACCTGCGTGGGAGACCTGGAAGAAGTTGCTGGTTCCTGGCTTCGGATGGGCACAGTACTGACCGTTGCGGCTCACTTGGGGAGTGAATCATTGGAAGGAAGATCTTCCTCTCTGTCTCTCCTCCTTTCTGTATATCTGACTTTGCAATAAAAATGAATAAATCTTTAAAAAAAAAACTGCAGATCTTTACCATTTGACCTATGAAGGACACAACAGATTTTTTTTGATGGCAGATGCTTCAGTACATAACAGAACAGTAAGTCCAGATGAATTTAGGTTTTAAAAGATAAGCACATTAAAAATATTCATAATTTAATCTTTGTGATAAAGGTGTGAGGTTTACTTTATTATTCCCTTTACCTTTAGTATATATATCCATATATGTATGTACACATTATACATATACACACAACACACACATACATGTATTCAGGCTCTAATAGAAAATATTTTAAGGTATATTAACTGAAAAACACCAACTTATATGTTATGGCCATAGGTAAGCAACAGAGACAGGATGCATTGGGGGTTGAATGTGACTGCTGGTATAGAACCTGGGTCAAATTTAGTTAGTCTAATTTGAAAAGACTGAGGGATAAAATTGTCTCTTCTTCCATGGGTTCTCAGGTTAGGGCAAGTGAATACAAAGGACCAAGGGTGATGGTGGGGAAGAGGAGGATGTTACCAGAACAATTAAGCTAGTGTATGCCTTGGTAAGAGATAATAGGCAACATACCAAGCAAAGGGGATATTGTATCACACACAGTAAAACCTACTTTTGAATAGTATTCAATTAATTTTTTGCAAAAATTGTTAGAGGCTAAGTAAATGTTTTCTTCCTTGGCTGGTTCTTCACTGGAGAAAAAGATATTCACTTAAATGGGAAAGAAACGAGGCAGCAAACCTGGTGTACGCATGGCTTCATTCCAAACTGCCCTTACAAGCACTGCATTATATTCTAGTTCCTTTTCTGACTGCATGTTCTTTGCCAGGGTTCCCACTGACTTTACACGAATTTTAAGACTGGATGATAGAACCATGGAGGACTGGGAAAATCAGGAAAAGGTTCTGAAGTGTTGAACTGGGAGTTAAGATCTTAACAAGTGATAAAAACTGAACTAGAAGAGAGCTGCACAGGGGTAGCTGAATGGGTCAAGGGCATCAGCAAGAGCACAGACAAGAATGAGCTCAAGAATCCAGTCAGAACAAAACTGACTGCCGTGCAACGACTTGTGCAGGGTTCCCTCAGGTTTCACAGTGACTAAAAAGCCCGGGAAGTCAAGCAGACGGAGCCAAGACTACCATGACGGACAAAAATCTGTTAGACCTTAAAAACACTGTAAATATACACACCACCCCTTAACTATACATTTAAATGCAGTTTCCAGAATAAGGAATGTGCAAGTTTAGTACATATACATTTTCAAGGCTCTACCCAACAAAAAGACTTAAACGCATACTGTCAGCAACAAAAGAAATTTGCGTGTGCTTGCTTTGGCAACACATTCACCAAAACTGCAACCATACAAAGATGATTAGCATGGGCCCTGAACAAGGAAATTCCCTTTATCAGCTTTGAGAGACATGACCACAAGGTAATTGAGAAGCGATCTAGGAAAGACACAGATTAGGAAATCAAATAGAATCCAGACCAATGCTAGTACCAAGAACTAACAATGTATGAAAGACCATAGGACAGTGCGGTGATACGGTGAAAGCTCTGTGAGGAAAACTACCTGTAGCTCAGACACTCACAACGGATCAGTGAGCATCAGGCCACCGCAAGGGGGAAAGGGGGAGGTGTGTGCAGAATACGGCAGTAATTAAAATATGAGCAAAGTCTTGGGCTACAACTGTGGCTTCTAATCACACCACTTACAGCTTTTCAAATCTGAATTCACACACCAATTTTAGCCCAAGTTCTACACCTGACCTGGCAAATGAACAACTTCACTCTTCATGAATTGCTCTAGGTTTTTTTCTTACTGGATTCTACCTGCTGTTTAGCATCTCTCTTCGATATTACTTTCTCTTTCATGTGCATGTGGTCCTTCCTCGATCGAGTTTACATATTCCCACAGATAAGTCCCTGCCTCATCGCTGGTGATTTCCTACAAAAAATTAGCTTTTCATTCAAGAAATATTAAGCACATTTCTTGGCCAATGAAATTTATTTACATGAAATTCATGCAAGCAGCCAGGTAAGATGTAAGCATAAGTGATTCTCCCTGAATCTGTACTTGAAATTATCAATGTGCTGAAAAATGATTCCTAAGAATTAGTTCCCAGAATCCAGTAATTTTATCTTTTGGTTTCTGTTTGCATGGGCTATTGAAGCTAAATTTAATTCTACATAATATCACCACAGGATACTCATCATGGTTTGATGAAATTGCAAACTTGTCCATGACCTTAAGCGAAATACCTAAAGATTTATATACATATATATATAAAAAAAGATTTATAAATACATAAATATATATAAACTTTATATATATTTATAAATACATAAATATATAAACATACATATATAAATCTTTTATATATATAAATCTTATATATATAAATCATTTATATATACCAGCAAAGTGGGCAAATATGACTAATATTCATCTTGCATTCTTAGAAAAAAATGTGGCAAAACAGAGGTGTAATTTGCATCTTGTTTCTCAAAGAAACTGCTGGGATATAAATCTGTTTCCAGAATTTGAAGAGGTCATTGAAAAAAGGTCTTTTTAGACACTTTTGATTTTAAGTGGCCTATTAATTTCTGTGAGGAATAATCAGTTCACAAATAAAATTCTTGTGATTTTCACAACTGCTGCTGAACATTTACAGTAAAGGACATAAGGCAGAAACGGTTTGGGGAAGCAATGTTCCTTTCTGTTCAAGTGTGAATCTGAAATTCTTTGCTGGAACAAAGCTCATTATCTCAGATTAAGGTCACATGCCCCCTGGGTGGGAGAATAGAAACTCCAATTATTCACAAATCTCTGTGCACAAATGCAGAGACAGCCTCCTCGATACAGGAAATACCTTCATTTGGATAATAGAGGGAGGGGCCACAAACGATATCTAAGAGACCACAATTCTAGACAGGGCTTCATTTTTAACACAATATATCTGTTAACCAACTCAAATTTTTGAAGGATATTGAGAAAATATGTAAGTATAGAGCATTAAAGACTCAAATATTTATGCAGCCTTATTTAACACAAGTAGACACAGATACTAGATATCAAGGCCAGAAAGCATACTTACCATCTCAACCCAAAAAATATGCGATTTGGTTCCCAGGAATCAATAAGCTACTGATGCCAAAACCTGCGGTCTTGTTTTTGCACAGTAACTAACTAAGCCGGGTTTTGCATTTTTATACAGTTGCAAAATTTTGGAGAAGCTTGTTTTTCACACACAAGAATTACATATGACCAATTTCAGTGTCTGCACATAAATTTCAGTGCCCATAGAAGTCTTACTGGAATGATCCAAGGCCATTTATTTACATGTCTCTGGCTGAAACGAATAACTGCAAAAGAGACCACATGGAGTATAAAGCCTAAATTATTATTTCCTATCTGGCCCTTTACAAAATACATTTGCTTATTCCTTGTCTATCTTAAAAATGAAACAAAACAAAAACAGAACAAAACCTTGAGGGATAATTGCTACCATTGAGAAAATTCCTGGGGCTGAGCCTACACAGAATAGGCAATACCCAATACCCAGGTGAGCCGGCTGCAAAGGTCGTGCAGAAGGCAGTCAGCTAAACCAGAGTTCTTGCTCTGGTGTGAGTGGCTGAATGCTTCTGCCCCTCCAAAAACTTAAGTTGAATCTTTAACTCTCAAGGTGAGATCACAAAACAGTGTCTACATGATAGAGTAGTGCCTTTATAAGGAGACAAGTCAGTTAATTCAATTCCGCACATGCACCCACCCATCCCAAAAAAGGTGCATGAGGACGTCGCCAGGAACAGCACGATGACCATGAACCTGATCATGGTGGCACGCTCATCTGAGACTCCTGGCTCCAGAACCTTCGCTAAGACACCCAGTCTGGTATTTCAAAAGCCTCAACTTAGACCCCTGGCATCCCAGAAGCCACAGGAGCGTACAGATGGCACTCGAGATTCTGGAGAGTGAGGGGGAAAAAAACACCCACTTTATTACCCTGTAACTGAAATATAGCATCTCTCTGCATTGTAAACATAGTCAACACACTGCACTTATG